ATAGTACACCCTCGCACACACACACACACACACACACACACACACACACACACACTCAAACACACCCTAGTGTCTTAAAGCAACCCCTGGTATCACTTTTAACTAAAGAAGTCTAGTAATTACGAGTCTGAGTTGTTTTTCTGAGCTTCCGCATGCAGTCCTAATTAAATCTTTACGACCCTCCCTGTGACGATTAAGCGCCAGCATGCTGCGTGAATATCCTGTACAAAAACCCAGCAGGCGGCCGTAATTAGATAGAAAATCAGACAAGAGCCTTCTCATTAACTACCACAACTACCCCACGTCGCTGATGAGGCGTATATACATATTTACGTACCGACGTGAGGGTGAGGTGTGCGGGCGCACCGGCCCAGCCCGTGAGATCGCGGAGCTGCCCGCCCACAGACACAGGCGAATGTTCTGTCCTGCGTGGACACGTCGCCATTGTAGACACGTGAGCACAGAAAGGCGTGAATCGTGTGTGTGCGCGCCCGTGTGCATAGTGGGGCCTCTTGGGAGTCCCCGAACAAGTTCCATGATGCTTTTTTTTTTAAGCTTTACTTTTTACTGTTTCTTAAGATGTAGATGGCATGTTGGAACATGGAAAATGGTTCTTAGGGAGAATCACAATTTTCCTCATCTTTCTGAGAACAGAAGAGTGACTATTAAAAACGAAAAGAAACAAATTAACATGCCCCCTCCGTGGTTAGGTCATCTCATTTCTAAGGTGCTGCTTGTTTGGGGTAGACAGTCTTCCTTGTGATGAACACACGCCCTGTCTGGGGATGCAGTATGAGTGGGTGGGAGGCGCTGTCTAAACACGACCTCCCTCTCAAGCCCTTTGCTTTTTACTCCTCTGTAGAGTGGGTGACAGATTGGTCCAAAGTTAGGTTTCTTAGGATCAAGAAAAGCAGCCATCAGATTGCAGAGAGGTCTAGCATTTATTTTCACTGGGGAGTAGGGGGAGGGAGTCCCCTGATTTTGGATGTCCTGGGGTGCACAGCCAGAACTCTGTTCTCTGCATCCTGGCAGTAAGAATCTCATTCCAACAGCTATAGCCCCTCAGCAGTGCCGCCAACACCTAGGGTAGAAATGTTCCTTCTCTGGGATGATATTGTGGCAATGGGGGGTGAATGCTTTGTGCCATTACCTAGGAACTGACTGGGAGGATCCTCTGTGTGTGTTGGTGTGTCTGTAGTCACTGCATCCCTAACAGGTGTGCTTCTTGCTGGGTGGCAGCAGAAGCAGGGTTGGGAGGAGGTACTTGTGCAGGTTCTCTGAGGGGTTGTCCTACAGCAGGAGGCTCAGAGCACAGGGATGTGCGTGGACTGCAGTGGGTGTGCGGTCCTGACAGCCTGCAGACGTGTTCCTATATGTTGCTGTTTGCATTCCATTCCAAATTGCTCAGACTTTAATTAAAATCCTATAATGTAAACTATTATGTATTTTTAAAATGACTCTGGGGTTAAGATGCACTGGGATAGAATAGAAAACAGAAATTGCTCTTACTAATACTTTCAGCTGTTGCCAAATTTTCACTATTCATAAGAGCAAATAATATAAAAGTTTCAGTGTCTACATAATATCTGTGTTTAATATAATAACTAAGCCAATCCTGCATCCCAGACATCTCTCACAGTTTCCCTTTTTCCTCTTCTTCCATTGGAAGAATTTATAATTTGGGTGAATTTCATTTCTGTGTCCATTTGGAGGTAATAATGATACTAATAAAACCTCCCTTTGTGAATTAATATAAATGGAAATAACAGAAACTCCAGTTTGGAATGACATGATTTATGTGTGCGCTTCTTTAATATCCAGTCGATTTGAATAGTGATATTTTTATATTCACAGTCAGTTGAAGATGCCAATAACAGCGGCATGAATCTATTGGACCAGTCTGTCATAAAAAAAGGTATGGATTCTTTCCCCCCAAAAGTAAGCCAAGTTTTCCTGTGTATTCATGTCTTTATGATGAGTTTTCACTTTTGAAGGATTTCATTATTTTATGAGATGCCAGTGCTTGTTCACAATTAAGGGACAGCGGCTATTGGATGAAGACATGTTGGGAAGAAGGAAATGGGGTAGGGGGACCGCAGGCAGAAACCCGGATGAGAGAGATGGAGGGACAGAGGCTAGAGCCATTTTTTTCCATGGTACATTCGGTAACAATTCTAGATATATCTCACATAATTGAACTATCACCATGTGTGGAACTGGCTGGGAAACACTGCCTGCAAAAATCTGCGATTAATTATTTCATTGATAACTGGAGTTTGTTGAGCGAAACCCTGTGTCATTGGGGCAGCTCCTTCTCTCCTTGTTTTTGTATTTGGGTTTTGGGTGGTAGTTTTCTTCCCAGTTCTCTATGTTTTATGACTTGTTTCTTCTTCTATTTTTTTTAATTGTGCCAAATGTGTCGCTAACTATGCTCTTCCTAAGAAGCAGAGCCGGCCTCTGCACATTTCTCAATCTTCCTACATACGCATTCATGATTTAGTGTGACTGTGGAATCACCCCATACTGTTAAAGGGCATGTGATATTAACAAATGTTTGCAGTCTCTTGTACAGCTGTAAGCAAAATAATTAACTAATTAAACTAATTAAATGTAATTACAATAACTCATTTCGGGCGTATTGCAGCTGCTTAATTCCCCCCCCCCCCGACAGTCACTGAGAGGATGCCTGGCGATTAGTGTGGCTGCCGAAAGGCCCGAATGTCACTCGCATGCCACAAATTTAGGAGCTTGAATGTGTAAACAGTGCAATCTTTAATTATCGCAGGAACCGGTGTCTGGAGATAGTTTTAACTACTGTTAACCCTTTCTTATCAGTGCTGGAGAAGGCCTGTTCTTCTGTGTGGTGTCATCAATCCCTAGCTGCAGTCACTTAGGATTCATTTAAGCCGGATGACACTGACAAAAGCAATGAAGAGAAAAAACATGCTTTGGAAAGTAATGTAGAGTCAAGCCGGTGGAGTAGGAGGGCTGTGGAGTGAGGATTCCAAATGGGGCGAGATGTTCTGGATGTTCTTCTCTCACAGAGGCAGGAAAAGTTGCTTTGAGAGGTGGCAGGTGGGAGGGGGGAAGCGGGACTTGAAATGAGGCCATTTGGCATCCCAAAGAATAGCAAGGTTTGGGGCAAAACGATTTATTTTAAGTGTCGTTCCAAACGTCTCTCCGGCTCTTCTTTAGATAGTATCGGTTTGGTTTTGCGCTCCCAGGGTTTGGGTTTGCTGGGACACCTGGTCTCCTGCTTTGATTTGCAACTGTGCTGACAGCTAACTTTCACCATTTCCTCCTGGGTCTTCTCTTCTGGTTAATTGCAGGTTGATAGGGAGGGGCGGGGTGTGGGGGAGGTAAGAGAGGCACTTCCTCATTGGTTTTTGTTGTTGTTGTTTCTCTTCTGTTTTAGGTCCCCGTCCCTCTTCATGGAAAGCTAGAACCCCTTAGTTCAGGGTTCCGTATCCTAGGAACAGCATTTGGGCCGTGGTGGGGCATGCCCAATGGATGACCAATCAGGGAAGTTATTAATAGCCAGGCCAATAAAAATATTTGGAACTTAGCTTGCCTAACAAAACGGAGCTGAAAATATTTGTGGATGTGGGGAGGGGGGCTTCTGTTTCAGGGCTTGTATATATTTGTCAGTGAAATGTGAATACTTACGTATGTGGGTATCGCCGGGAATAAGAAAAGGAGACCACTGACTCACATTGCTGGTTCTGTTTTGGAAATGTGGGGTACTTTTAATGGCCCCAACACCTCCCTTTTTTTTTTAAATGAGCAGCTTGAAACATCTAAGTGGCACCCCAGTTGCGTTATTGATTTAGGGAGTGTGGTATAAATATGAAGTGTTAGGTCAATTCTTATTTAATATTTCAGGTATTTGCTGTGTCACATGAAGAAAAGACCCTAATATCATATTTTTATCTTTAGAGAGCCATGGGCAAAAGAGGAATAAGTGGTTGACTTACTTTTCTAGATCTCTATGAACCACTTAAAATAAGGTTATGTGTTCATTAGCTCCTTCCCTGCCCTCTGGCCTCCCCTCTTTGCCCCTCCCCCACGCTTATGAGGGATGACTCCAAGAGATTAATTTCATAAAAGAGGAGGTGAGAATGTTTTCTGAACTAAATATTCTGAATTTCAACACCTGGCAAAGGGACTCGGTTGCTTTATTTTCTATTGGGCTTTTAGAGAGATTTTTAAAACTCTGCCTTGTTAATAAAAACAGCAACTGGCCCAGGTTTAGATGTCTGTGCCTCTGTGTGTATTGAAGCCAGAAAACTTACACATAAAGGATCTATGTCTCTCTGTCTGTCTCTCTCTCTAATTATGGAAGGTCTCCCTCCTAAAGTTAACCAGTCCAATTTTTCACCCGTGTTGATATCACCCCCATAGGTTATAGGCTAGCTCTCTTGTTGTATTTGCTATCTGGGCTTAGCTGACATTTCTGAAGTAATTTAGTTAAGAGGAAATGAGTTGTTCCCAGTAGAGAGAGCAAACGAGTGGAGTGAAGGTAGCCAGCGTGATAAATGGCTCTTTCATTTGAAGATCTCCAGAGCTCGTTTACGGCTAATTTTCTGTATTGGCCCCCTTTGAGCTATTAATGCAATCGGCAGGGACCGTGGCCCCTCTCTTCTTAGCTGCCCCATTAGAGCTCCCATTAAGCCAGCGAGTCTCGACTCCATGGCAGGGGTAGGGGGAGTAATGAAAGGTGCTTTTTAAACTCTCCTAATCTAAACCGGCAGAGGGTGGTTAATACGATTTGAAGGGGGCTGGTCAATGAGCAATCAATAAAGTAATAATGAGAAGGATTCGGTACATTAACAGTCTAAAAATCCAACGAGACATTAAAAAATCATTCTTAACTCTCAGTTCCATTAAGATTAGGAATCTGGGCCCGGAAGGGGGTGGGGGGCTGGTACCCAGCTAACATAAATGATCTTTGCCACCATCCTAAAGCCTAACCTAAAGAAGGCTCACCTAGGCTTTGAGAAAAAGTTTTCAGTGCCATCAGAGGCCAAGATGCAATCGGCTTGACACCTTAGACAGCAGAAAAGATGCTGAGATTTCTTGGAAAGGCTAGCGTGGCTGGAGTCCAAGGTCCAAATGTTGTGACTGTGGGGCATTTTCATTGGTCTTAGGGATATCCTGTTTGGTTAGTTTTAATTCAACCTCCGTTCTCTTCCACTTTTTTTTTCCCGTTAGTTCTGGCCCCTTCCCCACATAAACACTTGGATTGGTGTGGATTTTCTTTGGGTGGGTCAGAGGACTACAGAAATTGCCAATTTCAATTCCAAGGGGTTCTGTTGGGATTCCTCCTTCTGATCTAGGAGGTCAAAAGAACCCAGAGTCTGTGGGAGCCTCTGAGAGGGTGTATGTTTCCTCTTAAAGGGAAGGGTTCACATTTCCAGAACTGACTTGGATCCCAATCAGTATTTATTCAAGTAGAGCCTCTCAGCTATGGTCCAGCCACCCAAGGAGTAATCAGAGTTCACAGAATTTTAAAGCTGGAAAGGTTAGACACTCTTCTCCAACTCCCGTTCCCCCACCTCCCCACACGCCCTGCGTGGAAACTGAGACAGAGGGAAAATAAATGACTTCCTCAAGGTCTCAATCACTGAGTAAGTGATGGGACCAAACTGAGTTTCAGCCTCTTAGACTTTGCCCCTAAAGGATGCCAATCCTGGATGTTTGTAGTTTTTTTTTTTTTTTTTTTGGTTTTTGTTTTTTATGTTCCAGCTTCCTTTGTGGGAATTCTTTTATTTTCCTTTCCAGGATTTCAATGCTCACGTTTATACACACAGGATCTTATATCCATGCGGAATAACATTTAGCCCTCAGGTGGAGAAGAAACAAAGCAAGTATGGGAACAGGGGTGATCTGCTGGTGAGGAGTAATTATTTCAAGCAACGCCCAACCTCCTGTAGCTTCCCGGTGTCGTTTACATATTTAAGTCTGAATACCTTTAAGTCCCAGGGACTTAACCTTTAATCTATCAGATGGGTTCATTTCTTCCTTCTCCTTCACCAGCAGATCAGACCCGCAGAGGATGTGCCTCCAGTCAAACACCAAGATCTCAAAGTTATGATTTCACAATTAAGCTTAAAGAGGACAGATTAAGAGCTAGCCTATTAACACTGTGGCTCTATGTAGTCCACTAATGAATAAGATTTTCTCCAGTTTTCCTCGCTCTCTTAAATAAAACTCTATTCACTATAATGAAATATTAATTGGCTTTTAAATCTTTTTTTCTTCTCCCCCCCCCCATATAATTCCAGTAAAAAGGGAGGGGAACAAGTTTTGTGGGTGTTCCATTCAGAAGTTGGCCATTGACAGGGGGTATAGTTCAGTGGCAGAGTGACTGCTTAGCATGCCTGAGGTCCTGGGTTCAATCTCCAGTACCACCATTAACCAAAAAAAAAAAAAAAGAAAAGAAAAAGAAAGAAAGAAAGAAAGAAAGAAAGAAAGAAAGAAAGAAAGAAAGAAAGAAAGAAAGAAAGAAAAGTCAAGGCACACACAGAAGTTGGCCACGCTATCCAACTGAGAACTGAAGAGAAAAAAAAAAACCCAGTTTTAATGTATGCACAGAAAATTGTAAACATGTAAAGAACTGAAAGCTTCCCGCTGAGTTTTGCTATGCTCCATTTCCTTACCATTTCCTGCTGTCACTTTAAACCTATCTTAGTCATCTCTGGGTTCCGTGAGCAGGCGCAGCGCGCTCATAATTACTAACAAATCAACCGGGCCCTGTTGCTCCCTGGGTTTATTGATAAGCTGGAGGAAAGCAGAAGGGAAAAGACAAAGAGAATAAAATATGGGGTTAATCAGCTGAGGAAAGCAGGTGTGAGGGTGGAGGGGAAGGTGATGCTAACAGTTCGACGGACTTAGAAGAGAGTCAGAGAGTCGGGCCAAGGAATGTGGGAGTCCAGTTTGGGGACCAATACAAAGGCCAGAGTGGGGACAGAGGTCGAGAACCTGAGTGGAGGGTGCGAACAAGATTGATACTTCAGTTCGAAAATGGAAATATAATCTGAAACATGTCTACACAAACAGTCTTCATATCTGGTGGGGTAAAAAAGCACCTCCCTCCTCCTCTTCCTCGGGCCAGCGGTGCTCTCTGGGAAGCTGACGGGGTTGGTGGTAGTTTGGCGACAATGCGTATGCAAAAAGGTGCAGCCCGCGGGAGGGAGTGATAAACCTTCCCCAGAGGAGAAAGCTCTTGTCAGGGAAATCAGGCAATTAACAATAGTGAAATTAGAGGGCAGGTTATATACAGTGTCCCTAAAGGTCTGGCTCTTCAGGAGATCTGGCGCCTGGGACTGTGGAAAGCAGGAAAAATTCCAATTCTCAGGAGATGTTCAGTTATCCAGCATGGGAAATAGGAACTGACCTTACTATTTTCAGCTCAGTGGCTTTTTTTTTCTGTAAAAATATTCTTTCTAACTAGTATTTAAATATTAAAATGTGGCTGACTATCAAAGATGAGATTTTTATATAATTTATTTCTATAGTTTCTACCATGTTAAAACTACAAAGGGCCAGCTATATTTTGGGGAAAAGTTTTTCCAAGGTTATCGATTACCAGTTCCCATGATCATCAGTTAATTTGTTTATAATGCTTGAACATGAATCTGAAATACAGAAATCAGGACTGCAGTGAAAAAAATAAGATATGTTAAAATAGATGTGGATATTGTGTAAGAGGATTAAGTGACAGGGTGTTACCACCCCAATCACTGTTTTTAGGTGACTTTAAATCTGTATTTTACTCAAATTTGATTAATCCTCACACTGTGAATCTGCATTGGTTCGCTCTCAAATGGGAAATATTTCACTGATGAGGATATGATGAGAATCAGAAAGAAGTCTCCCTCTGTAACACCCCTGGCCCATCATCATCACGACCATGTAGAAGGTCCACTCTGTTACCTAACATCATTCCTCTGCCCTGGGACAGACTCTGCAGACAGATCCAGAAATCCTCAAATGTCTATTAAGAAGTAGAAAAAGGGAATGGAATGTCCAGTCTCCCCATCCACTTCCCTCAGAAAGCCCTTTCCACAGGTGTTTGTAAAGGGCCAAATGCAATTCATAGTAAATAAAAGATCTGGGAACCTACCTGGCTTTTAGGAGTCTCTAAACAATCATGGGGGCCTGAATGCTGCAATCTGTGATAGAGAGAATAGGCTGTTTCGGAAACACTCAGAGCGGTTAGTCTGTTCTAGACAAGGGGGGTTATATAACTTGTTTGATGTATAGGGTTCTAGGCGCCAGATGGTAGACAGAGCACATCTTTCTCTTCCCAGGATTATAGAGACAGCACCTTTATTAAAAAGAGGAATAGAAGCATCCTTTTCCATGCCAGATACATTGCACATTTCAATAAATCCCCTGGACTGGTGATCAACAAAGACCATCGGAGGGGCTTCATATCCCAAGCTGCCTGCCCAGTGACTTCTAGAACCTGCAGAAAGAAAATGGGTTTCAGCAGTGTCTAAGCCTAAGGGAGCAAGACTGCCAGGGAACCAGGAGGCTGGCCGTTCACCGTGTTCCGTTCCTTGCTCCCAGCCTCTGGTTCTACTGAGCCTCCGCCTCTTCCTGAGGTGCAGATGACACTGAAACACAATTAAACAGAAATACGGGCTGGAGAGACTGACTGCGCCTGGGTAGCAGTGGCAACCAGCTGTCAGCTCTTATTAACTTCTGCATAAAACATACCTTGAGTGTGGTTTGTTATCAATTACTTGCCGAAATGAAACAACTGGGGCAAGGCAAGACCGCCGCTCACATGAATTAGAGTGATTGGTTGATTGATCCGGGCACCTGTTGTAAATCATAACTGCTCCAAACAATCACCAGCCGGTGCCTTACGTTAATTTGTAAACAAAATTCATGTCACTGTGGAATTGCTTTCACTGGAGAGGAGCATTTGGGTTCATTTCTAAATGAATCAGTTGTTATGATGTACAGAAGAATGGGATCCACTTTAGAGAAACGAGCAGCTCTTTGGGGCTAAACTCCCCAGCTTAATGGTATTACTCGGCTGATCTTGGGCACAGTGACTGCTGGGGCCCACCCTCCTGATCCTAGCCAGTGATGACAATAATTTGCATCCAATAGGCAAGGAGGGATGGGTTCCCATAAAGACCATTGGTATTACTATTTTATATCACTGATAGGGATAATCAGCTTCAGACTTAAGCACCAAATACGATTACTATTCTCAGAAGACAGATGAGGAAACTAAGATTCAGAGAGGTTCAGCTTGGTGTCTAAGGTCACACAGCTAGCATGTGATGGAATTGGATTTGCCTGGCTTCACAGCACAATCCAAACTTGGGGTAGCCTGTTATTCTTGATTTGTGTAATGAGCAGGACTGGGTCAAGAGACTCCCACATGTCCACACACCTGGGGTAAGTTTCCAGAGGAGTGATGGCTTTTACACTTGTCGGTACACAAGTGCTCTGAACGCACCCCGGCTCCACGGGAACAAACACTTCCTCCTGCAGCTTTCCGCTTGGCGCGAGTCCTGTGGCCTCGCCTCTGCGCACGCAGCGACGCATTCTATCCTCGGGTCACCAGGATCGAAACCCGGTCACCTTTATGGCATATATTTTTTTTTCTCTCTAGTTCCGGTTCCTCCCAAATCTGTGACTTCTCTAATGATGAATAAAGATGGCTTCCTGGGAGGCATGTCGGTCAACACCGGCGAGGTGTTTTGCTCAGTCCCCGGCCGCTTGTCTCTGCTCAGTTCAACTTCAAAGTACAAAGTTACGGTGGGGGAAGTTCAGAGACGCCTGTCGCCCCCCGAATGCCTCAATGCATCTCTCCTCGGCGGCGTCCTCAGAAGGTAAAGTTCCTGCAACCAGGGTTTATGGGGCGCGGTTGCCTAGCAACTGGCCCCGCAAAGCGCCTGCGGAGAGCGGCGGCCGCCACGTGCTCCGCGCTGGGCACGCGCAGCCTCTCCTTCCAGCCCCTGTTTCGAGCCACGGAACCTTCCAGTTTCCCAGCCCTGCGCCCCTCTCCTCCCCACCCCCCAGGAGCCCTGGGGGCACTCTAGCCTGAGTGGGACCCACAACCTACACACGCTAGTCTAAAACAGGACTTTCGTGGAGCAACCCCCTTCGTACCTGCAATGTACTCTGATACCTATTTTGTTTCAAAGTGCACTTGGCTGCTGACTAAGTTGGTCCTATCCCATCAATGCATTTTGCCCTGCAGTTTGTAAAGCTTTCTTCGAGACTTGCGTGACTTCAGAATCAGTACCACCACTTATATAAGACACCGCCTTAGAAATATTGACAGTATTCCTTGGGGCCATTCAGATGCTCCCCAATATTGGAGAAAGACAATCCAGAGGCTCCTTGTGGAAAATGGAGGAGGAGATGGCTTTCATCTTAAGGTTCAAAGCCTTCCCAAAAATCGCTGCCAACACCTGAACCCCTTTGTAGTGTCCCTGATATGAAGGTGACAATGCATGAGATGAACTTTCCAAGTTAGCCTGTGCAGACGGGGGTTGAAAGTCCCTTTATTTCCTAAAAGTGGCCAGAGTGTACAGTACAGCAAAGGAGGCCAGAGTAACTGGTTTTTTTCCCTTGTATTTTTACCCAGACCTTAACACAGCAAGGGGGATCCTTAAGAGGAAGTAAGGATGTGACCTACAGACTTTCCTCACCTTGAATCCTCTTGCTCTGCTCTACTTTGTAGTTTAGTTTTCAAGCGAGTCCTCTGAGCCCCAGAATGTGGAAGTTTCTTTCAGTCACCCCTGGGCATCAACGATGTGTGTCGAAAACTTACTATGAGATTAAGTGAGATAATCAGTATAAAGTGCTTATCTCAGAACTGAACTCCCTTAAGTGCTAGTTTTACTGTTATTATGATCACCATCATCATTAGTTTCATGTTTCCGTCTTCCTTTCCCTTTTAACCCAACTGCATTTTATAGTGACTCTTGACCCCTTCCTCTCAAAGTCCACCTGTTCCAGCCCGTGCCTTCTTCTCTCTGAACCACCCAGTCCTATCCCTTTTTCCGGCAAGGTTGTGCTTGCCCAGTTTCTGCTCACCTCACTGGCTCCATGACAAGGAAAGAGCTCAGTGCGTGTGTGCACCTTCTCTGGACCTACCACCTACACCCTAATTATTCCCATCTGGTATCATTTTTTTTTCTCACGAGATAAAAAAAAAGAAAACTGACTCGATTTTTTTAATGCTCTGTATTGCAGAAATTAAGCAAACCTCAGCAAACTATCAGCAAATAACCAAAAGGAAGGGGAAAAAATGTGCTAACCTTAAGTTAAAACCTCTTCAAGCTCCACTGGGCTTTAGATTGCTAAGTCTAAACTTTGTTTCAGGAACACTGTGAGGTTAATCAGAATGTTAATTCTTGCAATTTCAGAGCCAAATCGAAAAATGGGGGGAGATCTTTGCGAGAAAGGCTAGAAAAAATCGGTTTGAATTTACCCGCGGGCAGGCGCAAAGCAGCAAATGTCACGTTACTCACCTCCCTGGTGGAAGGTAAGCAAGACATGTGGCCATTTCACGAAGTGGCTGAGCTTAACTGCTGGCTGAAGGCTGACATTTTACACGTTTCATGATTAACTGGAAATCGTTGCAGTTGTTGTGCCCTTATGAGTTGGATGTCAAGCGACTGCTTGAGAGAAGTTCAAAGGTCCTTTTACTTAGAGGGAGGGGCGATTGCGCAGAGGCCAAGGAACCTGCGCAAGGGTCCCCATGCTCTGAAGAATGCTCAGGTCTGGCCTCTAAGCCAGTGCAGGAGTCACCGCTGTCACCAGGTGCAGGACACAGTGCCTGAAACACCTGTGGTATGAACTCTTGCAAGAGTAACTCTGTAAGCAGCAATCCATTCTGTACCCCTTCTCCATCCCAGATTTTACCTCTGAATCATCAGTAGTAGAAAACACATTGCCACTTTATGACACTATTATTGAATTCATGACCTCTAATGGTTATTTTAAAACTCTTGTCACTCCCAGGGCCTATTACCTGGGACTTTTTGAAACATAGCTTTATAACTTCAATGACCTAGGGAAAATGGGGGAGGGGGTGAGGAAACATGAAGGGGAGTCATGTATGATCTTCAACTGTGAATTTAAAAGCCCATACTTACAGCAGACACATTCTGGTTTGCTCATTACTTTGGGATTGGGGATGAAATTTATGGTATGTAATAAACAGGGTCTTCTCCACAGTCTAGAACAAGGGGATCTGCCTTTGAAGTTGTGGGGTGTGGAAAGGATAGGGAATACAGCCAGATGGACCTAATGGAGAAGGCTGTAGGATTTTCTCTAGGGTCTAACATGGAGGTCTTGATTTTTTTCTTCTATTTTTATGGGTGCGATATTAATGACACTCCTTTGGGGAGCTGGTTTTTGGAGGAGGTTATCTTAGAATATTTAAGAAACAACCATAAAATCATCACGTTTATAGGCATTGCACTTTGGTATCTTTAAGGCAAAGTTGCTTGGCCCAAACTTACCCTCTGGGGCAGTGGTCACCAAGTTTCTAGACCCCACTTATTAGAGGCTGACTCTCAGCCTGGGGGTTTTACCTTTTTGCCCTTCAGGGAATTGCTAATATCGCAAACTTCATTTTGAAAAGCAGTCAAGGTAATTTCAGCCCAAGACAGGGATTCGGGTGGAAAAGGGAGGAAACTGGAAAACCCACTGGAATGCCAATATTTAGTTGGCAGTTTCCAGTGTTATGAGTTGTTGTAAGCACCATGCCTGAAGTATTTCGTGGTTACTATGCTAATGATTAAAAGTAAGTCATGCTCCTTAAAAATAGCATAGCTATGAGATAATTCAACATATCTCTTCTTCATGTCGGGATCTTCTCTTGAACCCCTAAGGCTGTGCTTTTAAAAGGGTAGTAATGCTTTATTCGAAAGGGGCTTCCACATAAGCTGAGGAATCTCTCAGCTGTCCAGGTTTTCTTTAGCTACTGTGTCATCTTTTGTGCAGTGGAAAGTCCTTAACTAGGAGAATGATGACAGAAACCTCTGAAGAGGAGAAATCTGAAATTTAACTAGCAGGAAACTGACAAGGAGAATGAATCTTTCACTGCTGGATAGAAACTGATCCATATATGATTTACACGTATTCTTTAATATATGTGGACATATACACACATGAATTTATATTTGTGTACATTAATTATTATAGGAAGATACAAAAGATAGGAAGGCTTTTACATTTTATTTAAAGCAGGTGTAACAGATACTTAATAAAGAAGCAGAGAATCTGGCTTGACTATCTAGTCATCTCTCTAGGTGCAGTTGTAAGGTGGCTCCTGAACATAGTCGCCCACCTTTCCCTCAAAACAAAGCACAGGGCGTGTGAGACCTGAAGCTCTCACACAAGGGATGTCTAGTTAGGACTTGACTGGAAGGATGATCAGGCAGAGGCTGGACGAGCAGCAGGAGCAAAGTTTGTTCTATCAACTTTAATTATGGCCCGAGAACCCTGTTTAGTTTGGGCATCAGTCCCACCTTTGCTATTGCCCCCAACAGTTGGCCTCTTCTGTAAACAACGGAATTGACCAGGAAGCGCCTCTTGCCCTGGGATGGTTAGGGACTGGGTGCTGATTATTTCCTCTTCTGCTGTCTTTTCAGGAGAAGCTGTTCACTTAGCTCGGGATTTTGGGTACATTTGTGAAACAGAGTTTCCTGCCAAAGCTGTTTCTGAGTATTTGAACCGGCAGCACACGGACCCCAGTGACCTGCACTCCAGAAAGAATATGCTGCTGGCCACCAAGTGAGTGCCCCAGACCCGTGGTCCTCATCCCGGACTGGACTCCCACCCTGCAGAGCCACCTGGCTTGGGAGGAGGCGGTGGGAGCAGCAGTGCAGACGCCCTTGCGGGGCAGGGAAACTGCTCAGTGGTGGAAATAGAATTCGAAGCCCATTGATTGCTGGCTAGGAGCCCTCCCAGCTCCGCCCCACAACGCCCCCAGCCGCACCCCCTCCCTTCAGCGTTGATTATGGGCTGTGTGTTTGTGTTTGTCTTCTCTATTTCCAAGATTCTGGAAAGGATGGCTTTATGAAGCAAATCCAAGCTTTTTACAGTTCACTTCCGCAACCCTGGGGATGTCAGGCAGACCTTTTCTGGGTGGGTCCTTTTTTCAGTTCTTTCCTGGATCCCGGGATGCATATTTCTGCCTGGGTTTCACATCTCCCTGTCCTATGCACACAGCCACGTGTGCTCGCTCACGGTGTCTATATGTCACCCACGTGTTCCCATCTCTACCGGCAGCTCTAATTACTCTGTTTCCAACGTTGCTGTTTGGCATCTTCCACAGACGTGAAATTTACTACAACTCCAGAGGGGAAAATAGTAAATCTCTGGCTAAATTTAGGTCTAGAGCTCATTTGAACTTTTACAGTGGGTTTTCTATTTATTTGATTTACTCCCGTCTTTGGCTTCGATGTCATATTGCTGGTGTTTTATGGCCGGCTCAGGCCTGCAGTGGGCGGCGCTGCGTGCGCCCGCACGTTTCTCTCGCAGGCGCGGCCCAAACAGCGGCGCTCATTTATTTAGTGCTCGGGGACGCGGTTTGTTCCGTTGACAGCGTAATTTAAAGAAATATATGGAAGGCTGAAAAATCATTTGCTCAAATTTGTCCAGATGTTTTTGAGACGTGATTGGAATTTGATTGCCCCTTTCCGCAGGGTCAGAAAATATTAATGTCCCAGAACTTTAATTGCTTACAGACCCTGGTTTGGGCTTTGAAGATTTAAAGTGTTTGACTCTAAGCATTTGTTCTCCCCAGTTCAGAATTTCCTTTTTGGCACTTTGGTAATGAGTACAAACTTAAGGAAAGCCTTTAACCATCTCCTCCAACGATCAAAACCTGGCACCCACCCTCTTTTTAGAAGGTTTTCCTCCTATGTACCAACCAGCAGTATAATCGATCTTTGTCAGGCAGTTCTCCTCCTCTTCCATGCCCTGGTGGCTAGTGGCAGGGGAACTGTAAAGCAAAGGTACTTTTGGGAAAAAAAAACCAAAGTAGATAAACTAGGTAACAGGATTCCACAACCAACTCTGTTGTTTCCCTAAGGAGTGCTTGTAACTTCCCCCCACCTTGAAGCCCTATGGCTTCTCTTAGGCCAGTACTTCGTCACCTGGGGTGAATGTCAGAACTGTCTGGGGAGCTTTTTCAAGATAATTATTCGAGGACCTAGCCCCAGGCCCCTGAATAGGAATCAGTGAGGGTGGAGGCTGGATGTGAGTATTTGAACCCCACAGGTGATTCTGAGGTACCTCTGACTGAAGAGCTGCCCTATTTAGATCAGAATTGTTACCTGTTTCTTCCTGGTTGTGAGGATGTATCTGTGCATTTCAAACAGAGAAGCCAGTAGACAGGGGAGGCCTGTCGGTGTCGTCTACCCAGCAGCCTTAAAACCAAAGCCTGTTTTTTGGCTGCTGCAGGTTGGGGGAAGAAGTTTTTCTCCCTCCAGTTTGGCCATTACTCTTCCTGGGAGTAGTCCCCTGGGAAAAGGTGCCTCAGGGTCACCCGCATCGGCCTCCAGGGATCTGCCGCGGTCACCGGTTGGCCAGGTCAGGTGTCACCAATTGTCAGACCATCCTAGGGAGGTCGGGATTGGAGTTCTGTAGTTTGTCTTTTCTGGTCACCCTACAGATCAGGTGGAGGCAGGCTGACAGAAGTCTGCCAGTCTGTGAAAGGCTGTGACCTTTGGGGATGCCATGCCTCTGACCACTGGGTGAACCAAGCCACTGGACCTTCAGGGGTAAAATCCTTTGGCCCACCTCCTATATTAAAAATTTCTCAAATAAACTCAATCCATAGTTAGGCACACAGGATTTCTAAGGCTGGGAAATTCCTCTAAATTGTCAGTGCCTTGAGGAAATAAAAACCTTCAACAAATAAAAAATCTACCCTCCCTGGAGTCTTAACCAACTACCTTTAGGTTTTATTTAAACAATGTGGGAATCCTTTTATATGGACAACAGCCCTGTTGTACAAAGATCTTCGATAGCCTACACTTAAAAGAAAGGGGAAAAAGAAGGGAGGGGGCGGGTGGAATACCTCCCTTCCCAAATACAGCAGGTAAACAGTTTTTTTTTGCTTTGAATGAAGTCAGCATTCTCTCCCAGAAGAAACAGTTGCTTGCCCTGGGCCATGCAAGTCTCCAGCAATCTGCTTCCATGGCAGGGACAGGCTTGTGGCCCAGGGCCCTAAATCTTCCAGGGCTTTTTGAATCTAATCACCAAGAAGTTGGAGAGGAGGGGAGATAAAGGGCTTTTAAAAGAACTGTCAGGTAAAAGCTAAAAATTACTGAATATTCCAAATCTTCCAGATGCTAAAGCCTGATGGAGTTTCCAAAGCCGGATGTATGCAGTCTCAGAATGAAGGGGGGGAGAATGGAAGGGGGGAAAGGCCAGGCTTGGGGATGGTAGGGGTGCGGAACCTCCCCGCCCCCCTTCTCCTTCCAGTCCCAGCTGCTTTAGAAGGCAGAGCGCTGGGAAAGGAAACAGAGCGGAATCGCCCGCATTAGCCTCGCTCTTCGGCTCCACGGTGACCGGGCGCCTCTGGGCTTGTGTGAGCGTCTCCTTTCTAATGCCAATGACAACGACACTGAGGGTTGGGTTTTTTTTTTTTTTCCTTTTCCCTCCCACTTCCCCCTCTCCAACCCCCACCCCGCCCTGGCAGGCAACTTTGTAAAGAATTTACGGATCTGCTGGCTCAGGACCGGACGCCGATCGGGAACAGCCGGCCCAGCCCCATCCTGGAGCCGGGAATCCAGAGCTGCCTCACGCACTTCAGCCTCATCACGCACGGCTTCGGCGCCCCGGCCATTTGCGCCGCGCTCACGGCCCTGCAGAACTATCTCACCGAGGCGCTCAAAGGCATGGACAAGATGTTCTTGAACAACACCACCACTAACAGGCACACGTCTGGGGAAGGCCCAGGTAGTAAAACTGGCGACAAGGAGGAGAAACACAGGAAATGAAAAATTAAAAAAAAAAGGAAAAATGTTTTAAATACAAAAGGAAAACAGAAAAAAATTTAATTTTAGCTTTAAAATATTGGATTGGCTTTGGAAGAATTATATTAGGTAGAATACACATACAATCAAAATTTAAAAAAACAAAGCTAAATAACTTAAAAAAAAACTGAGGCGTACAACGGAGCAACAGTATCGGTTCTCAGTGTCTATTTCAAGATACATTTGGAGACAACCGTCCGGATTTTCCACTTCGGTTCTTTCGAGCTTAGTAATACTGATAATAAAAAGAAAACCATGATTTTTTTCCCTTTTGGAAAATAAACATAAGACTAAACGTGAGAAAACGCTAACTTATTGGAAGAAAATCGGAGAAACCTTGTCGGTGTCAGTGCTTTGAGAGCTGGTTGATTGAGACGCACGAACTTTTTTTAATTTTTAATATATTTTTAGGAAACTCTCTCGCAGTCCCCGCCCTTCCACCTCACCTCCCTCCTCTCCCAGCCGCCCTTTTCTCCGTTGCCTCCATCTCGGCTGTCACGGGATCTAACGGGATGAAAAGGCTAGCCTCTACGCGGTGTTTCGGTCCCCTCGG